GCCGAGCATGTACCACGAACGACTGGAGGAGGAACAGTTTCTCATTGCAAAGAGACGCAACGAGTCTGTGGCTGAGTGCCATCAGCGAATGCGACAGATCACTAGAATGCGGAAGAAATTGCCCACAAACACCTTGGTTGTCGACGAACAGTCGATGATCCAGACGTTCAAGCGGGTTACGCCAAAGGAGTGGAAGACATCATACGAATTCAGCGGTGTCCACCTTACCACCATGCCTAATCCTGCCCAGTAATTTGAGCGGCTTGAACAGTCAGAACGACGTCAGGGCAAGGAGCGTCATTCTGGAGGCTGGAAGCAGCACGGTAAGCAGAATGGTGGTAAGCCGAGGGGTGGTAACAAAAGTAGCAGGAAAAACTTTAGGAAGGAAAATAAGACGGAGTCGTCAAAGCAGTTCCAGTCACGGGAGAAGAGCAACGGCTACAAGTGATTTAGTTTACAAAAGACGATCTCGCATACTGATAGTGCGTCTTTTACGCAGAAGAAAAATACGTCAAAAAATGGCGGTAATCAGTGGTCAGCAGCAAAGAATATTGAAGATGCGAAGATGACACTGGTCGAGGAGATGGATTCTGACTACTCGTTCAGTGATGAGAGTGGGTGTAAATTCATAAGTAGTATACTGAAGGGCAGAGAGCCGTCTAAGAAACCTCCGACGCGTCTCCGTTTCCGATTAAGCAAGATAAGACAGGAGCGCGTTGCACTCGCGAATACAGGATGCGGAACAAGCTTCATTAACTAGGAGCTACTGGCGGCAAATCAAGAACTGGAGTTTGAGATGTCTCCGTCTGATCTGACAAACGAGCAGGTCGAGAGCGACGTTAAGGTGGATGGACCGACACAAGTTTGATTTCGTTTTCTGGATTTCAACTATGAATTTCGAATTACGCATAGCTTTTCCGTCGTCAACGATACCAACGACGATATGGTGATTCGGCGGGATCTATTAAGTGCGCTTGAAGTAATAGTTAATCTCTACGACGGGATAGTGGAATGACAGCTTAGCAACATGGTTGCAGTGAACACGGGAGACAAGTCCACCGCAAGTGATGAAATTGGAGGTCCGAACGTACAGGAGGAAGTGAAGGAGATCAACGACACGTCTGTGGAGCCCGAAGCTATGGTCGGGACAGCATAAATAGATCAGTCCACATACGAACAAGTAATCAAGCTGCTAAAGCGATTCGACCAAATGTATAATGAGCATTTAGGGCGGATGAATTTTCATGACTATACTGCAGAGCAGTCCACACCAGTAGAGGATCGCCCATATTCAGTTCCAAGGCGTGAAGAAAACGCAGTGAAGAAAGAGTTACATTGACCCATTTAGCTCTACGTGTTGGAGCAGATATTTGATATCGAATGGGCTTCTCTGGCTTTTTTCTTTAAGAAATCATATGTGCGTCTGCGATTATTGACCGACTTCCGAGCTTTGAGCAAGTCCTTGAAGCGTAACCCCTACTACGTGCGCCTAATTCGGGAAATCTTAATACGTCTTGGCGGAGCAAAGTTCTTCTACTCTCTGGATGCTAATTTGGGATACTATGCTAGGCAGCTGGCAGAAGAAGGCAGACGGTTTACGGCAATCTGTACACCGTACCGGAAATTCCAGTACAAGAGGCTCGCAATGGGGATCTCTACGGTGCCAGATGAGTACCAGTCGTGCATGTCTAGCATTCTGGGGGATTTGGACTTTGTTGTCGTCTATTTAGACGACATACCTATATTCTCTAAAACTGCAGAAGTGCATTTGGAGCATTTACGAGTGGTGTTCTCGCGTCTACAGAAGTTCTACGTGACGTTTAATGGTAAAAAAAAACTTCGTGTTTTCTGTGCAGCTGTGGAGTACTTAGGATTTACTATCAATGCGGACGGGATTGAGCCTCAGGAAAAGGAGATGCGTGCCATTCTCCAGATTCAGCGGCCTAATAACAAAAAGGAACTACGTCTGTTTTTCGATATGATAAACTACTACAGGGAAACGATACCAAGAAAGACAGCGATGTGAAGCCATTAACACGATTGACGTCTTCAAAGACTGCCTTTCAGTGGACATCTAGCGAGAACAATGCTTTTGAGGAGGTTAAGAAGGCTTTGGCCAAAGTCGTACTACAGATATTCTCCGGTTTCTCAAATTCTTTTGAGATATATGCAGATGCAAGTGGAAAGCAGCTAAGTAGATTGATTGAACAACAAGGAACATTTGTTGCAGCCAACTCTAGAAGTCTCTTAAAGCGCGCAAAACTATACGACGACCAAAATGGAGTCGTAATCTGTGGTGGAGATCTTAAAAGAGTACAGAACAATGCTGCTTGGGTTTCCCGTTGTAGTCCGCACGGACCCTAAATTCTCATTTATACAACCGAGAAAGCATTGCGGGTCAAGCAATGGAAATACCTAATATCTGAAAATCATCTTACCTGCCAGCATAATTACGGAAAGGAAAATGTTACTGCAGATGCCTTTTCTCGACTGGCGTGCGACTCGGATACGAAGACGGTAGAGACTGAGCTGGGAGCGCTACCACCACGAGAAATGCATAAAGTCGATCCTTTCGACGTAGTGCATGTGGATACCATGGGCATTACGGTAATGATCGCTACTACGCGTTGACAGTGATCGACGAAGCTACAAGATGGCTAGAAGTCTCCATTCAAGAAACCAAACCATTGCTGAAACCTTTGACGTGACGTGGTTGTGCCGATATCCAAGACCAAAAATCGTTGTGTTCGATGAGACAACGAGTTTAACACTAAAGCGTTTCGAGAAAAGCGTGCCCGCTACGCGGTCAAGCCAAAACCATCCTCCAAGAACGCTCAGGCAAATGCCCTTTATGAGCGAGTCCATTTAGTTATTAACAATGGTACTCGATGCTACCCGGAAGCAGATTGGCGAAAAGTGGTTTCATATGCAGCATTTGCAGTACGGGCGAGTTATCACACGATTTTGGGTACAGCAACAGCACATTTATACTTTGGCAGGAATTAATAACGCGGCAGCTTCATGAAACGAATTGAAACTATCTCGCGCAGACTTGAAGCAATACCGAGATATAATGATCGTGAGAATATATTACGCGTTCAGAGCATTATTATTCTCCTGGAGATCAAGTCATAGTGCGAGTTACAGCTAAGGATCGAGGTACCAAGCATCGTGAGGTGGCCAAAGGACCATATTCTATTGACGCAGTGCACCCCAACTGCACCGTAACGCTAGACTACGGTATCAGTCAGCAGCGCGTCAACATACGCCGTCTCTTTACGTGTTAATCGACAACTGGCATGGGGTGAATAACAAGACTGTCACCTACCGTAACGGTCATCATTATGGAATACCAGCTGACGCACACTACGTGGTACTCAGACTTCAATTTTTGATTTCTCATATTTAAGTGCTGTAGTGGACAGCCACGCAGCAGATAAGTAGGATAACACGTTGTGTCTCTTCTTTTGCCAAAGCTATGGATCTCTGCAAGACCGTACTCCCTGAACAGCCGTAGATTACCCGACCCAAAGAGGTGGATGGATATGGCACCTTTCATATACACTAGTATTATCCGTTTTTTTACGCTTCCATCATATCCGTCACCGACAGCTACCTTGTTAGCTCCCTGGCGACTGCCTGGTTACCTCTCTCATTCATGTTACGTAGCTTTATCGTCCAGCATCGGCCGGTAACTAACGATCTGTCACTTTAAGTACACAAGTAGTATCCGTAAGTATACGCTTACGCGAAACGCTTCATCAAACGTGTCCTGGTCCGACATGTCTTCGGATCCAGACGTGTCAACCCATGCATCTAATGCCACGTCATCTAGCACCAAACTCAGGTGATGTACCTTCTCTTCCGACGACAACTCTTAATCTTACTAACATGCTCGAGCTGTTGAATCCACTGGAGCCACTCTTGCGTCGAACCGCCACTGAAACGCGGAATACTGATCTTAATGAGCAAACGCTCATGACTCGAAGTATTCTTCCTTGTCGTAACCTGAAACGTTACGGATATCGACACATCAGTGCCTTCGTTACCTTCTTCACTCATTGCTGCGTCCTTGCCTTCCTTGTCTCCACAAGGTTTGTGATATCGCAAAGTGACAACCCTTGGCTCGCAGCGGGGTTCTTAGCAAGGGTTAAGCTGAAAGTCGTGGCTTGCAGAGGACCTTAGCTTTGGCAAAAGAAGAAACTCAATGTGTTTTTCTACTTATCGGTTACGTGGTTGTCCACTACAGCATTTCAATAAGGGATCAGGAAAAATAGAAGGCTGAGTCTCACGTAGGGTGCATCAAATGGTATTCCATAGTGATCACCGCTACTGTTGGTGATGGTCTTGTTAGTCTCGCTCAGTGGCAGGAGCGCCACTGGTACCATGCACCAGGTAGTTCGAAGAACGTCATGTTGCACTTCAAGTAACATTGGGTACACTCGTAAAAAATATCTTGGGAAGGAAGAGTCGCTCAGGATTGGGCGGCTTAGCGCTAGCAACCCCAGGCCAACAGGAAGAAGAAGGCGAAGGAACTAAGGAGTCGCAACCGGAATGGCGGGACCAGGTACAGGGGCGCAAGGCCCTGGCCCTCCGGACACAGGTCAGCTATCCCCGGATCCCCAGAGGCAGAAGACAGACCAAGACGGCACGTCGAAGACGGATCCGAGCTTAAAGGCCGCCCAACATGCAAACGAGAAGGACAGCTGACGGAGCGACCTTTGGGGGAAAAACTTGAAACGGATTCAGAAAAACATAGCTCCTCACCCCTACCTGGACCAACTACAGAGGCGGTGGGTCCACCACCGAAGGTTGTCTTGTGGAGCGACAAAGTAAAGGCAAATCCACCTTCTGAAGCGAGGATCACTGAAGACGCGGCCCGCAAATCACACATGCTACGCGGGGTCTGGAACCCTGTCCAAATCAAACAACTGATGACCACTATCATGACTGCCTGGACCAAGTGTTCCAACGACACTTGGACAGAAGACGAGGAGAAGATGCGCGCGGAGGCAGAATTCCCTGCGACTGCCCGCAGGGACGACGCCATCAGGGCCTGGACGCAAAGGGAGCATGCTATTTTCATTAAATATTTGAGTGGCGACTTGGACTTGCAGCACCCACCAAACATCATCAAGGAGATCCTGGTGAGTGAACATCGGGCCATGGTCGAAGACATGCATGATACTTACTTTAATGTAACCCTCACTGCTATTGTACCGGCATCCGTGAGATTGTCCGTTCACACGCCACATGTGACCATTCTTAAAGAAATTTTCAACGCTAACACAGACGACCATACCGGACACGCAATGGTGAGAGTTTTTCAACAGGATGTCAAACGCCTCAGTTTTGACGGCAATCAAACGCTTCACGCAGTTTTCTACTCAAAACGAGCGTCAGCGCGTTGGCAGAACAAGACGTTACGATTGAAAGCAGCGGTGATCACACTGAGATACACGGAACGCCTCCCAGAAGAGAAAGGAGTAGGAGTATACACCAATGCCCAGATGGAATTGCAGTTCGCTATCCGGGTGTATGGAGGTACCTCATTGGGTTTAGCCACTCTTACACGGGTCTTTGCCAGCTTCTCAGGCGCACAAATACTGGATGCGGAATATGCACGAACGACACGCACCGAGATATATGACAACAGGAATGTTACAATCCGGTTTGCACAGCGCCACTGCCCAACAGACCTAAAAGGAATATCCAGGATCTTGTTAGGCACGGTAGAATTGACAATTCACCACTTCCAGCAGCACTTACGGCGTCCATGCACGAAGTGCCTCAATCCGTGGCATGGGGCAAGTAGGTGCCGCACCAAACCGGAGAATATCGAAGCTGTCCAAAGCAAAAGTACCAGGAAATTCACTGAGCCCGTTGTCCAAGTGCCGACGGCTACCAAGATTGAGGTTTCGGTTAAAATTTTGACGATCTCGTCATGATGATGACATCACACCAGCCACCAAAAATTCCATCAACCCCTCTTCAGCACGTTGCGACCGATCACCAAGCAATCGCTCAGCTTTTAGGAGTAACAGGGGACCAGGCACCTCCTGCTACACCTCGAGTGGAATCGACTCATGCATCGGAGCCTGTACCCGGAGAGGACGAGGAAGCCTTCATACTAAAACAAAGAAAACACGGAAAGTAATGAAAGTGATGCAGGACAGTTCACCCGACGTGGCAACATCAGTGGATGCTACCCGCACCTGCATCCCTGACTGAGGATGTGGTCCCAGCAACCCCGGACTCTCAGGAGGAACTGACCATGGGCCCGACTCGGACTGGCACTGACGCTGGGGATTCAGACCTTCCTATCCAGGTCGGTCAATGGTTGGCCAGCTTTGACGGTACAATGGTTGAAGTGGAGGCGAATGGGCAGTGCGCCTTCCTGGCTATGTACGCTTCTACAGTGAATCACTCTGCAGCAAAGCTCAAGACTACCAAAGCAGTAGTGCGCGAGGCTACCTCTCTTAAGGATTCCATCTATGCCTTAATGATGTTCAATCTTCGGAAAGATGTTGCGCTGGGGTTGGTGGACCCGATCGCGGAGTACGCTAAACTCTACCCGGACAATCCGGCTTACACGTCCACGGAGCCGTCGACAGCAGCCCTTTACGGGCACTACAACCAAGCACGGACGCGGTCGACAGGGGTCAAAGTACCCGCTAGTTTCTAGGCGGGCCCGCATGAACTCCGAGCTATGTCCCAGTATCTTCGGGATCCGATAGTAGTGTTTGACACGAATGCCTCTTTAGACGCTCATGTCCAACGTTATTCCTACAAAACCCACCGACTTGCAGATAACACCCATCACGAAACTGGTCATGTCGAGCCGCCTTCCGACAATACTGCTAGGGATTATCTCTATGCCTGCTGGTCGCTCCATGTGCTGCCAATTCTTCTTGGTACTACGCCACGATCAAAGTCATTTCTACGGTGTCAGTCACGGTGAGCTCTTCCTGAAGTGAAGAGCAGAAGGGGACGAGACCTTCGCGAAGGATCTACCTGACTCCTATATGTGGAAGGAAGACATCAATTCTCTAACGAACACGGAACGCTCAGTGGACTTGACCACGATTAACCAGCTTGCCGACATCACCAAGGTGAATAAGTTGCTCATTAAACTATTGGAAATGCGGGCACGTCTAGATTTCGTCCATGCAAGACAGGGACTTGCGATCCTTAATGCCGACCCGTTACCTTCTGACTTGAAGGAGGTTCTACATATCGAAGAACAACACATTCACGAAGCCTACGGCATGGACACATACGCAGCTTCGTCGCAAGAGGACCAAAGCAGGGGCCATCAAGGTAGCAGTCTTCCACAGCGATACGCCAAGGCTGCCTCCGGGGACATCATTGTCAACACCTATTTTTGTATTCTCCGACAATCAAATTCTGTACCGAAGGAGGAGGTGGATGGTTCTCTAGAAGATCTAATCGCCTTGTCCAACCAAGAGGCATTCATCAAATGGCGTGATCTTTTCAAGGAGGAACTGTCCTTGCCAACGATGAAACGAAGGAAGGTCACCTCCGCCGACATTCAAGAATGGCTTCTCGCTCACCTTGAAGCGCTCTGGCATTTCTTCGCCTTCATACCCTTTCCTGAGTACGAAGCTAAAACCCGGTGGACACACGACCACCTTCTGCAGTGGGGACTTATTGAAACGTACGTTGAACAAGCTGCAGCTCTCAACAGATTGGCAAACGATGATAGCATTGATGATTTGACTCGAGAGTTCTGCACCAAATGGCATACAGAGTGCACAAACCAGGCCATCAAACAGTCCCAAAGGAGACAAGCAGCGAATGATCCTGACAAATGGGGACAACTTGCCCAACGTATCCCCAGCAGATATTGTAGGGCGCAACCAACAGACATCAGTACCGAAGCATGGCACATACTACACATCCTGCCACACGTGGTGTGCGACTGGGCAGCTACACCAATGGGTCGGGCTCCCCTCGGTGCCCGGTCAACGTGGTACGAAGAATTTTCATCCGTCCGCCAACTATGTCATGGCGTTGTAGAATTCCAGGACTGGAGCGCAGCCAACTTGGCTCCAACAGGACACACGTGAAAGCGTCGAGATCGTTCTCTTGACGACTCTCAGCCCACCTATCGCAATTAACAACACTTCAGTTCGGCCGGATTTCTCGACTCAGGGGGACCAGACTGAGTCGAGGACACGGATCGAGCTAGAAACAACTCTGCCAAATGCGAGGCCTTCCAAGATCCAAGAATCGAGAGAGGAGCGCACTCAATCTTCAACGAACTTGGAAAGCTCGCAGCACGATATGATAACTGACATAAGCATTAGATCCGTGACAGGAGGACCAAAACACGAAGATCTACGTAATATGCTACCGGTGCTCGAAACAGACCGATTTGCTGCGCTGGAACAACAATTTGCAGAAGACAAGAAACAACGAACACAAAGACAACGGAAGGCCCGTAAATAGGCCGTCAGAAGTGAGCGAATAGTTGAGCCTAAACTACACCAGTTGGAACAGACATTTGGGCTGACAAGACAAAATGTAAATGGATTGGGGGCAAACGAAGTGGAACGTTCGAACTGGTTCTAGGCTTTTGGGAGCGCAGATGAAGATGGAAACACCGATATCCTCATACTACAGGAGACTCATGTGGCAGCAGCTGAGGCGGGAGAATACACAAAATTCTTTGCCAGTCGCTGGGGGTTCAGAACGGGACATGGTCAACCTGACTATTCTTACTGGAGCCCTACGGCAGACCGGAGAGGAGGGGTGGCCATCCTTGCCAGCCCGTACAGAGCTTTTAAGGCGATGACACCTTACGTACAGGAACAATGGACCGAGCACTTTATGGCTGTGCATGGCACACTAGATGGCACTCCTACTTACGTATGCAATATATACGCTCCTCACGCACCAGCACAGAGAGAACGATTTTACGCGAGCCTACAGGCAATCAGCTTCCCCAAGGGAGCGCTCTTGTTTGTCGGTAGCGATTTCAACTGCACACTTGATGTTCAGGCAGACCGCAGTTACCAGACTGGTGCTCAAGTACACGATTCACATGCGCTGAGGGTCCTCCTAGAGATGTGGAGACTATTGGACCCGATCGTAGTGGCACGACCAGCAGAATGGACGCCAAGTACTCTTCAACGACATCACTTTGAGACCCACACATATCATTACATGGTCCCGGGTCGAGGAGAAGCCTCATCACGGTTAGACAGGTGGTACACGTCCCCCACAACGTTGTCGTGGGTGGCGGCGTGGAACACAGTACAACTTGGCGCGAAGACGGATCATCTAGGATCAAAAATTTACGTCAGGTCTCCTGAAGACCCCATCCGGATACGAAGGCCACCGAGGATACACCCAGCGCCAAAGCACACGACAGCAGCTGTAAACGCCGTCACCACGCAGCTTTTGGAGCGTTTCTCCGAACAAATGCAGGCGGAGCAGTGCTCGGCGGAGAAGGCGGTTGGGCTTTGGGTGGCGCTGAAGAAGGAGGTGGCGCGCAGAACTCGGATTGCCATAAGAGAGCGCAAACGCGCCAAAAAGCGCACGCTTAAACTAAAACTGATGAGGTTAGTCAAACAACAAAGGGGAGTTCAAGAGGAGAATGAGGGAAGGAGCCCTTCGGTAGACACTATCACTGATCTATTAGACGGGCTGAAGTTGGACAACTCTGTTGGGCCAACCAGAGAGGCACGGCTTAGACGGGCAATCGCGGCGTGTAAACAAGCACGGAACGAATTTGGGCAACGGCAACTTTTTCAGGATACTACACACTGGACAAGGAAAACAACCAAATCCTTCTTCAAGAAGATCTCCAACAAATACACCGACAACATCATACACAGATTAGATCCGGTGCCAGGAGCCCCTGCCAGAGACGTTCATGACAAAGCGGATACCATAGACTAGGAGCTTGCTGCAAGATTGGCGGATGCGAGGACGCCAATCTTGCAGCAAGCTCCTAGTCTACCGCATCACATCTGCGCAGTCGAACAATGGATACCACAGGCTCAAGCACCCACTGAGGCTCAACAGGCAGTGGCTGCGACAATTACGGAGGAAGAAGTACGAGCTGCACTGCGAAAATGCGAACGAGGCAAGGCCGCAGGGCCTGACCGACTGGAGAATGGTTGGTACCGTGACTTTGAAGACATGCTTGCCCCTAATCTCACCGAGTTCTTCAAACTATGGTATGACAGTGGAGTTTTTCCATTTAATTTCCTGGATGCGGATATTTTCTGCCTTAAGAAGGGTGGGTCGTCAAGCAATGCACTCAACTTTCGCCCCATTGCACTGTTAAACACAGACTATAAACTCTTCATGAAGATCCTAGCAGCTCGAGTCGGGATCACATTGCCGGATCACATTCATCTTAACCAGAATGGCTTCGTCTCGGGCCGCACTATACATGACACAATTGACTTACGACGCAGCACAGCACATGGTACTGACTGACTCAACGCAGAGAGAAGCGACAGCTCTCCTACTCGACCTCAAAAAAGCATATGACTCCTTAGATAGAGCATTCATGCTCTCCATCCTACGACGGAAAGGTTATCCGGATAAATTCGTTACGGCGATTGCAAACACACATGACGGGACCCGAGTACGGTTTTTAGTTAACGGAACCAAGTCTCGAGATATACTCGTCACCTGTGGGATCCGCCAAGGCTGTCCGCTAGCACCCATGTTATTTATCCTAGCGCTGGATCCACTATATCGTAAGATTGACGGATTCATGGGCCCACGTGGAGTGATTGTGCACTCAGAGGCAGGCCGATTTGAACTCAGGGTAGCCGGTTACGCTGATGATTCAGCAGCGTTTGTCGGAAATCCTGCAGAGATATCTGTGCTGCTTCGGGTAGTGGAGCTCTTTGGACACGCATCGGGCCTACAGATAAACACAGAGAAGACGGTCGCGATCGCCCTCCACCCACATGGGGCGACGCCGAGCATGACGCTACCACCTCCGCTTCAGTACCATCGTGTGGACGCGAGTTGCAGATACTTGGGAATTCAAGCTGGCAGCAAAATTGACTCTCATCGATCATGGACAAAAGCAGTGCAACAACTGACGACTCGTCTCAGACTTGCATGGCAAAAGCTCTTGACAATTTATCACCGCAGTCTAGTTGCAAGCGCGGTAATCATTCCAAAGATGCTGTATGTTGCACGGCATGCCTGGCCCACTCCAGCCATTGTAAACGAGATGGCGTGCAGAATCAAAAACTACGTATGGCACGGGCAATTCACGGTAGAGAAACCAGCTGCGCGAGCGTGGTTGCACGCCGACTTGGCAGCTCTACCGAGACACCTTGGAGGCTTTGCCCTTCCGGACGTCAGAACAGAACTCCTGGCGCTAGCAGCTACCACAGTTAGCCAGTGGGCAAGCAACGGCACTAGACAGGCCCACATCCGGGGCAACGTACCCTTCCACAACCACAAGGAGGGACGAGCTTCGACGATGTACATAACTCCAGGGTACACGGATCCGACCCCAGGCCAGACTAAATTACTCTCTACGCTGTGGGCTATTGGAAAGGCTCTCATCAGCGTTGCTGGGGCAGCCAAACTGATGAAAACCATGAGGACGATCACAAAAAAGGTGGTGGCAGCAACTCACGCCAATAGCTTTACATGCTCGTGGGAGAACAACTCAATGCAGAT